ATATTAAAAATATATATCAGATAACATGGGTCTCTTTTAAATGTGCATAGTTTTATAAATGTATTTACAATGGTTATTTACCCTCAATACTAGGTTTTTACTAGCCTCCTTATCCTTCCAGAAAGAGCTTTCTCATTAAGTTGTGCTTTTTGATATAACATTCAGTCAGCAGATGACAATTTTTTTTTTTTTTAGTAGCAAAGCCCCGAACCACCTGCGTGCTTGAGAATCCCTTCCGACCACATTGCCAATGACCCATAAACTTGGCCAGATGGCTTCTTGGACAAATCCAGAAATCTTTATCACTGCAACTTTAAAAAGTCATCAATACGTAGACATCTACATTTGGGGTCTTTATTTGTTTTTCTCACGTTTGGTGATACCCACTTTTTCTGGTGTTTCTTCACTTTGGGAAATTTGCTTCAAATACATCCTTGTTTCCAAGCTGGTTTCATCTGCTCTCAGCTTTGGAGCAGTCCCACCTCTGTTTTAAAGCTTCCTACTCTATAAACTTATGCTCAGATACTGGGAAGCATCTGACATTTTCCATAACAATGACTCTCACAGTCTGCAGGGCGGATTGCATGTAATGGGGTCTCTAGAAAGTTTAATTTTTCGTAATTGTTATTGACTGCTAACATTTCCTCAGCTCACAGCCAGACCCCTTTCAACTCCATCCCTCCGAGCAGCTCTATTTGTATCAACAAATCTCTACTTCCACGAATTTTATTAAAAGCACTCCTTGGATCTTTTCTAAAGTCCTTCCATTCACCCCGCACTAACTTTTTTCACAAATACGGTCTCTCCCCTGAACTTGAGTATGACGTCCCCACCTTCACTTGGGGAGATGTCTTGCAGGCTTGGTGCTGATTTAAATTTTTCTGTGTGTCTTCACCTTGACACAGAAAGTGGGCTTTCCCAACTGATGCTTCGTCAAGGAGCGGGTGGGCTCTCCTCATTCCTTCAGACTACCTAGTCCGGATCGGAACTGGCCTTTCAGATCTCAGCCCCAAGAGCTGGCTGAGCGAACCTGACACCACTCCTTTAATGATGTAGTGAAGGACAGAGTGGGAAACCCCTCTGGGGGCCATGTCCTTGCACCGAGTAATGAAGTCTCTGTGCCTACTACAGCCTGATGGAATTCCAGTGGTCACCCCAGCTCCCACAGCCCCCTTTACTGGTGCCCTCTGCTAACTGGGACAACCCCTTACTGGAGTGGCCATCAGCGTCCAGAGATGAGCCCATGCACACTTTTCCAGGTTTCTGCAAACTCTGGGCCTCCCCGTGTCCTCCAATGCTGCTCACCCAGAGCCTGACTCCCTTCTGCCAACCCCTGCCTCCAGGAAGGCTTCCTCTAACCTCCCACTACCCTTCCAGGCTCACCCCACACATGAACACAATGGCCCTGTCCACGCCGCCCACAGCGAAGAACAAACTGGAAGACCCTCATGCCCATGCGTCTACCACAAAACTCTTCTGCCATTCTTTGCATTTGCCCGTGGTAAACTGCGAGCTCCTCCATATTGCAGGCATCTGGACCATGCCTCCAGAAGCCCCAAATTCACGAAACTCTATTCTTACAGCAGCCGCCTTCAAGAGAAGTCTCCATGCACACGGCTACACCGAGCTGACATCAGTCACCTGGGAACATCCAGAAGGGACAGATGGTCTCCCAAGTGAACTAGCACCATTCGTGATATTGTGGGGACACCACCGCACATGTGTCCACAGACGGGAACGTCCTCACGCTCAGGCTGGAAGGCACAACCCACTCTACACAACCAAGGCGCCAAGGGGCTCAGGTGTCTGCATTTGTGAGCACACCCACGTGGACCTGCAGGCATCCTTATCAATCTAAGCGTGGAGTCGTCCTTGATCTCCCCTCTCAAGCCCGGCATGGCAATCCTAAGCCAAGAGCACGCAGCTCCTGGACTCTGGGAGTCACGTGCATTCAGATCACTGCATGGGCACCCGGCTGTTTCCAGGAGACACGTCATGGACCCATCATGGCAGCAACCTGCCCCCACTTCCTTGTCCCTGCCTACCACGCTTCCCTCTGTGGACCCTGTGTCTGCTGAGCGTGACCTCACTGGCTACCAAAAGGGAGTCCTGCTTATCTTGGGTTGGCACTGCCTCCACCCCACGGTCTCCCCTCTGCTTCCTCAGACCCTCAAATCCACCCTCGCTGACCACCGACCTTGGATAGCTCACAGTCTCTCGTCATGAGGAGCAGACGGTGGACTGGAGCATGGAGTAGGGCAGGCTGAGATCCCCGCTCTGCTACGCCTGCCCGAGGAGTCTTGGTAAATGGGAGCAAGCCTGGCACCAACAGCACCCAACCCAAGAGGAATCATGTCATTCACATGAGTGAGCTTGTGTAGGAAGCTCACAGTGGAGCCAGCCACGCGGCACCATTCACGTGGCCATCACGTGTCCCATGCGTTCCAGCTCTCAGGAGCCATGCATCTGCTCCGCCTGACGGCCCTGCTCTTTGATGCTCATGTATCACCGATCCCACGCTCGGCTGGCCCCCGCGTCCCACCTGCTTGTTACATCTCTAAGCCTAGTGAACAGGCTTTGTTTTCCAGAGCAATTGAGAGAAACTCAGAGCAATCCTTCGCCCCTAGACATGCACTCACCACCACAACAGAAGAGCCATGCACACGGCAAGGCCCCCTGGAGGTACCTCTACTCATCTTCCCTGGGAAACATCCTACAAGGCGATGGGGACGTACCAGGATGTAAAAATCTATGCTGCACATTGCAGGATTTTGCAGAACCACATGTGACTTGCTACAACCTCCAACCTTAAACCTCTCACTTCCTCTACCGAGACTCACTTCCTTTGATAACGAATCGAGCGTACCACCGTCAGATGCCCCCCGAGTCAGCGGGAGCTCCAGACACACCGACGGTTCCCGGGACCTCCACAGGCACAGGTCCTAGAGACGCAGGAATCAGCCAGGCACGGGAGCATCTTCCCGACTTACCTGAGCAGGCTGGACACCTGTGGGGTGATAAGCACCACCAGCTTCCTGGTCGCACGCTGGTTCCTCAGTGACTGTCCCAGAACCAGCGCGCCCTGGCAGTAGATGTCGTTGGTGGCCAGCGTCACGAACGCCTGGTCAGATACTGCGGGTGTGGACAAAGACACCAGAGTCACATTCCCGGTGGGTCTCAGAAGGTGGCAGGGTTGGCGGTCACCCCTCTCTCTGAAGCTTCACCAACTGAACCAAGTACCTGCTCCATAGTTTATAAATGTTCACTAAGAACACTTCATTTCCTTCCTTCCTTCCGTATTTCCTTCCTTCCGTATTTCCTTCCTTCCCTTTCTTTCCTTCCTTCCCTTTCCTTCCTTCCATCCCTCTTCCTTTCTTCCCTCTTTCCTTCCTTCCGTATTTCCTTCCTTCCTTCCATCCCTCTTCCTTTCTTCCCTCTTTCCTTTCTTCCCTCTTTCCTTCCTTTCCTCTTTCCTTCCTTCCTTCCTTCCTCTCTCTCTCTCTCTCTCTTTGTAATCGCTCTGCCCAACGTGAGGCTCGAACTCATGACTCCGAGATCAAGAGTCACATGCTGAGCCACCCAGGCACCCCCTACATCTTTTCCTTTGAAAACACACAAACACACGCAGACACACACACACAGAGTGTAAGGAGCCTGCACGTGATGCCTTGATTTGCTCTGCATTCGAGTCTAAAACAACTCACCCCAAATACCTGAATCTGAGAATCAAACACATCACAACATGTAAGCAACTGCCCGATTATCTGAGCTAGGATGCAGATGTCTGCCCAACTCAAAACAAAACAACAAAACAAAACAAAACTATGCCCAGTTTCACAGTGTCTCACTAGGTGGGGAAGAAATGCTGACAGGGGATCCAATCGATGGCAATTTCCAGTCTAAGTGCATCCTCGCAGTGCTGGTAGCTTTTATGGGGACTTCCAACCAACTTAATTCCTGCTCCCCCAGGAGCTCGTTGCCAGGAGAGAGACAACAGTTTAAAGAAATCCTGTGCAGGCTCCTGTGCTGTCTGCAGAAATTAAAATTCGCAGCACGCACCGCAGGGCAAGAACACACAGACCTCGCTTCTCAAAGAGCAGAGTGTCCTCCCCTCCCCGGGCCGGCGGCCCCAAAGCAGGGCCCGAAGGACTGGCATTCACGCTAAATATAACATGATGAACACAAGCTTCTGAGGCCTGGTTCCCAGGGGGACCGCCTCCTTGACCTTTTACATTCCATGGGGGTAAATTCCAAAATGCGCCTGTTACAACAGGCTCCTGTCTGCACGTTCTTGCTGCTGCGGTCTCTTTCCCAAATTAAGAAGGGTCTGCGGATTCCTGGCGTCACCACTGTGACTTGTGGGTTACACTCAGACAGTAAAGTTCGAAACTCAACTTTGCAGCCCCCCAAAATATGTATGTATGTATCTGTCTATCCATCCATCCATATCTTTCTATCCATCTATCCATCCTTCCATGTATCTGTCTATCCATCCATCATATTATCGATCTATCCATCCATCCATCTACCCATCCATCCATCTACCCATCCATCTATCTACCCATCCATCCGTCATATCTACCCATCATACCTATCAATCATCCATCATATCTATCATCTATCCATCCATCCATCATCCATCCATAGTATCCATCCATTCATCCATCATATATTTCTATCCATCTATCCAACCTTCCATGTATCTATCCATCCATCATATCTATCTATCATCTATTTATCTATCTATCCATTCATCCATCTGATCTATCCATCCATCCATCCCTACATCTATCTATCTAACCATCCATCTATCTATCCATCCATCCCTACGTCTATCCATCCATCCATCCATCTACCCATCCATCCGTCATATCTATCCATCATATCTATCATCCATCATATCTATCATCCATCTATCCATCCATAGCATCCATCCATCCATCCATCTATCCATATCTTTCTATCCATCTATCCATTATATCTATCGTATATCTATCTACCTATATCTACAAGATGTTTTAGGGGCAGGAGACACCCCCCATGGACATGTCTGAGACATGGGCACAAAGACTGGGATCCTCCAAAGGCATCAGGGTGATGAGAGAGTCCCATGTCCAGAACAGACCACCCTGCGACGGGATGGCTGTCCAGACAAGAGGAAGGTGCAGCTGCATTTGCCTGAGGGAAGGTACAGGATGGAATATAATACAAACAGCAAAGTCACCCAAACTGGTAACTGCATACACTGGTTTTGCTGCATTTTTATAAGGACATAAATGTAACCGTTTTAATCAGTGGGTATTACGCGCTGAAATATGTCCCCCCTGTCCCCCGGCCAAACTCGTAGGACGTCCTCAGTCCCAGGACCTCAGAATGCGGATATATTTGGAGATGGGGTCTTGAAAGACGGGATTCAGGTAAAATATTGGGGTGGGCCCTGATCCCCTAAGACTGGGATCCTCACAGGAAGAGGGGATGAGGACACAGACACGGACAGAGGGATGACCACGTGAGGACACAGGGAGAACACAGAGTTTACACACCAAGGAGAGACACCTCAGGAGGCACCAGCCTTGGCTCCGCCTGGATCTGACTCCCAGCCTCTAGGACTGGGAGGAATAAATATATGTTCTTTAAGGCACCCCATCTGTGGGATTTGTTTAGCACCCTAATAAATTGGGGCATTAAACTCAGGAAGCAGACCAGGTAATGCCATACCCACCCTGGGGAAAAGAAGCAGAGCAATCAGCTGGTGACCCTATCAGGTTTAATTTTATATGCAACTGCCCTTTTCAGGCTGAGAAACTATCTTTTTCTACGAAGCTACATTTCCATCATTGTAACTGGCTATATATTTCATATGTAAACAATTTAAATTGGATCCTCCTCAAAGAAAAAGAAAATTCGCAACAGAGCTGAGCTGGATATTCCTAAAAAGAACATCAAATTCCTTCTAAATGGAAGTTAACACAAAGACGTGAAAAATATCCAACTAGATTATTCCTACTCCTTTATCCTCTCAGTGATCACTAAGGAAACTGTTATCCAATTGCCAGGGTCTGTTTTGACTCAGCATGGTTGATAAATATGCGTCTCCTTCCCCAGAGAGTTATCAAACCAGACACCAGAACAATTAGATTTCCAACCATCTCATGTTTCAGACCTACTTGGTTTGAACACATCAGCTGCTTCCACGTGAGAAACAAGTCACGGGTGAGGGAGGGGGAAGCCGGGAGGTCCTGGGATCAGAGCTGCTCCACGGTCCGTGGAGGGGAGCACATTACCTGGGAGGGCTTTGGGGACCCCACGTGACGCACTGAGGACAAGCTATTTGTCCAGAAGCTTCCTGATTTGCAGGATGGATGGAGATAGTGCTGGGTCCAGAGAGCGGGTAGCCTCCGCCCTTGCTTAGGATGGAGGGATTCGTGGTCCTGTCAACAGGATGACAGCACAGCACCCCCGGAGAGCAACCCCCTCTCTCCAGCGACCCCAACACGCAAACTCACGCTCTGCGAGAAAGACGGGCTCGTCTGAAGGCTGGCCACCAGGGCCCCGTGCACCATGTTGCAAGATCACTCACAGAGAAGAGCACTATCAGAGGTGCAAAGACAGACCAGTGGATTTTAAGGTGACGAGGATGAAAACTCATTAACGGGTCTTCAGAGGCCACACGGCCTTGCTTTTAAGAAGCTAACAATGACCAAGTCTCGCTGTATCAAGGAATGTCCACAGCCATCCAAGGGCACTGCATTTAGAGTCAGTTGCCACCCCACATGGCGCCAGGGTGGGGACCTCAGGCATTACCACAGAGCGGGGAAACAGAACACGTGTGGCTATACTCCAACCACGGGTTTAAGAAAAAATAAATATTCTCACAACATCAAGTTCAGCCCGAAGAACATGGTGGCTGAGAGTTTTGTAATGAATCTGGGAGAAAGGTTCATTTTTATCCGTTTCTACTCCTTGTGTGTCCTCCACTGGACCCATCTTCTTATCTGCCCGCCACCCACCCCCCCGAAATAATGGCTAGCTTCCTCCTCGGCCCCTCCTCTTTTACTCAAAGGTGGTTTTTGTTCCCCAAAAACATGCCGAATACCCACTTCGGGTCTTCGAGCACATTCCAGGGCTGATGGGGGAGATGCATCCGAAGGTTGCTCATTGAATGCTGCCATTATATGGGCCCTAGTGGCTTTGGGGGGAGAGTGGCTTTTACTGTGGAGAGTTGCACACCGCTCCCTGGAACAGAGAAACCGTTCTGCTTCTCCTCGAGACAGAGTCCTACAGCGGGAACCACAGGAAACCCCACCTCAACCATTTTCCTTTCCGAGGCCAGGCAGGAGAAAAACAGCATGGAAGCTCCTCTGTGATTTTACCAAATTGCTCCTCCAAATACAAAGTAACCTGTTGTTTTAAAAAAAAAAAAATGCGCTCATGGATGATCAGGTCTGGTCTGGTGCAAGACGGGGTGTCTTCACGATAAAAACAGGACAGGCATCTCTCTTATGCGTTAAGGCCACAGTCCCATTATCTAATTTCTAGCCCTCTGAACTGCCCACATCTGATGTGCCCAACCCCCCTGAAGGGCAGGTGTGCAGGACTGAATCTGACCCTCGGGGGCCAGGTCTTGCCCTAAACCCCAGCCATGTGGCCATCCCAAGCCCACTGCCCTGCCGGGGGGATTACCCCAATCTTTATTGGAATAAAGGAGTACACCCCGTGGTCTGAACTTGGGAACCTCCAAAGGCACTGTGTTCCTAAAGTTTTAGGGGCACCAACTTCCTATCTGTCTACCAGTGGGTGAGAACTGCCCAAGAAACTAGCACATCTAAACTCCTAGGGCTGCCTTTTACAGAAGGGAAATTCAGGAATCTCGAGGCCCCCTGATCAGGCTATATATGGACCCCTCCCAGCGGGTGAGACTCACCCCATCTCCATCTGCAACCCGGCAGCGCCAGGCTCTGCAAACGCAGGGATACGCTGGGGAGGCTTTGGGGAGGCCAGGGGCTTGGGGGTGATTGTGCCGGCAAAGGGGGGGGTTCTCCCCAGAACAGATCGATCTCACAGGTCCCAGAAGGAACAGGGAGGCTGGGCCGAAAGCGTTCACGGACTTACCCGGCATGGTTTGGGCGCCGTGGTGCCGACGTGCGCCTGGGTTCTCTTGGGCGTGGTGGGTGGACTCTGCCGCCCCGAGCAGGGCCTAGCAGAGGCTTCGCCTCCAGGGGACCCTCGCAGATTTCCAGGCCTGCAGGCGACAGCTCGGCATTCCAGACACCCCGTAATAGCTGCAGCCCCAGCCCAGGGCCCCCCTACCCGGCCCCGCGTCACCTGGGCCCCGCTGAACCGACGCCACCTCCACGACTCCCATGCCCTGCACCTCATCCTCCGCGCTCGTGGGCAGCCTCTGTCCTCCAGCCAGGCTCCCCTCGACCCCCCGTCCTCGCCCCGGAGTCACCTGCGACCCCTATGCGCCCCGCTTATACTCCCCGTCCTGGGACACCCTCAGGCCCTTGCCCGCCCGGGTGTCAGAAGCGTCCCCAGCGCGCCAGGCACTTCACTGTACTCCCGCCCGGCGACCCCTGGACTCCTCGGCCGCTCCCCAGTCATCTGCGGCCCGGCTGCGCCCCGCCCCTCCTCCGCGCTCCTGGAGGCCCCGGCCCCACCCCGGGCTCGCGCCCCCGTCACCTCCTTTCTCGCGAGGACCCCACTGCGCGCCCCACGCTGCACACCTCGTCCCTCGGCTCTCTGGCAGCCCCGCGCCCCCCGGGTTCCCGGCACGCCCAAGCGGCCTCCAAGCCTCCGCACCTCCTGCGCGCTCCCGCAGCCCCAGCCCTCCCCACGCCCGCCGCCCCGCGCCTCCCTCGCGCTCCGGCCCAGCCG